GCGTCCGATAAAGAGAATAAACAACACTTTGAGCTTTAAAACGGTGGCGGGGGCACTTTAGTCTCCATGGGTAATGGCCCTCAAATTATCCTAATGGGGGGGTGGCGGGGGATCTTTCCAGAAAATCTACCCCGCGATTGTGCGCAAAGCAAGCCGGAGCACAGCGCCTCCTCTGTTCCATGGAGAAACAAAACAAAAACCTCCCCCCCCAGCCTCAAACAGAAGGTGCCGGCGGCGGCTGTGCGCCGATGCGGAGATTCCGGACGGAGTCTAAGCTTTCCTTGCCACTGCCCCTGTGCTCGCCCGAGACTGGGTGGCGTGCGGGAAGCCGCTTCCCTTCAAACGGAGACGGATCCCACCCGTGCCGCTGTCGCGAGCGGTGCAACAAACGCAAAGACGACGGAGAGATGATCTGCTCGTGCAGCGTAGACGCGCAGACTCTACTGCTGCTGCTGTTGTTGTTGTTGCGGCTGATGTGGCAGGCGACAATTTCTTGAGGCCGGCGCATGCAACTCCGAGGAGGGAGTAGTGTGGCCGGGAAAAGAAATCGCACCTCGCCAGCGGTCGTCTTAGCGGGTGGTTGCTCTGAAAGCCAGCCACTTGGTGCCCCGTGGCTAACACGAGTGGTGAGTGAGATCTCAACTGGTCCCAGCTCTCCCCGAGATCAACACGGCTTTAAATCAATACCAGGTGCGGTTTTGGGAAACAAGAGCGAGCAGCTGGGTGTGGTGCTGAATGGGTGCTCGCTAACACCGCTTGTCCCTACAGTTCAAGTCGGCTGTATGGAGAGATCATTGTCTTTGTGGGGAACACATGCATGCGTGCAATCAAACATTCAATCATGCGCACACACACGTGCCAACCATCCGCAGGACGAAGAGTGAGTGGTGGGTGCGATGCCAGTATGGCAGGGAGAGTGATGGTCTCAGACGGAGTGGACCTTGGCGATGGACACTCGGTATTGGGATGTGGAATGTTACGTCACTGGGGGGGCAAGGAGCCGGAGCTGGTGGAGGAGGTGGAATGGTATCGACTAGACAAAGTTGGCCTCACCTCCACACACAGCATTGGCACTAGAACCAAACTTATCGGCCGTCTCCTATTCCAGACTAACCCCTGGTGAGAGGCCCTTGGGCGGGTGTGGGGATGCTCACAAGCCCCTGGGCTGGGAGCTGTTCAGTTGGAGTTTGTCCCAGGGTCGCCGCAATGAGACTTCGGGTCTCAGAAAGGAAAACTCTGACTGTTGTCTATTGCTTATGCACCAAATAGCAGTTCAGAGTATTCGGCCGTGTTGGAGACGGTGGGTGCAGTGCTCAATAGAGTGCTGCCTACAAGACTCCACAGTCTTACTGGGCGACTTCAATGCTCACGTGGGAAACGATGTAGATACCTGGAGAGGCGTGATTGGGAGGAATGGGCCCCCTGATCTGAACCCGAAAGGTGAGATGTTATTGGAATTCTGCGCTAGTCACGGAATGTCAACAACAAACACCGTGTTCGAACACAAGGATGCTCGTAAGTGTACTTGGAACCAGAGCACCTTGGGCTGAAGGTTAATGATTGACTTAATAGTTGCTTGATCGGACCTAAGGCCGTCTGTTCTGAACACTCGGTTGAAGAGAGGGGCAGAGCTGTCAACTGATCAACACCTGCTGGATCGGCGTGGCGTCCGCAGTGATGCGGGCGCTGTACTGCATCACCACCCAAAGCTCGTGCACCTATGATGATGAGCTTTGGGTAATGACCGAAAGGATGAAACCGCGGGTACAAGGGGCCGAAATGAGGTTTCTCCGCAGGGTTGTCGGGCTCACCACTCTCCGTGATCGGGTGAGGAGCTCGGTAATCCGGGAGAGCCTCAGAGTCGAGCCACTGCTCCTCCAGATCGAGAAGATAGACTCCCCCTGGAACTCTACCGGGCAGCAGCAGCAGCAGCAACGTCCCACTGGGCGAAGACCCCGGGGCCGGCCCAGGACCACGCTGGTGGGACTACGTCGCTCAGCTGGCCTGGGAATGTCCGGAGATTCTCCAGGAAGAGGCAAAAGTCTGTCGCCAGGGAGGTCTGGACCGCCCAACTCAACACGCTGCCGACGCGGCCCTCACCAGGACAAGCGGATGGAGAAACGAACGAATGAACACAAATGCGAAGATCCCCCTGTAGCCTTAACGGACTCTTGGGGGCAAGTCCTGTTAGCGAACACCTATGAAGGCCACCTGAGCACACGAGGGAGGTGGGTGGCCAGAACTACACCTGGCCGCCTTGTTTCCCAAGTGCTAATGTTTAAACACTGTCCTGGTTTCGATTGAAAGCTTTCGTGACTGCAGAGATTCATCTTTTTGGTTCGTTCGGTAAAGTCACGTAGAAGGGAAATAATAAAATAATAAAAATAAAACATAATAAAATAATAAAATAATTCTCGCAGCTGCTGCAGCTCCTTACTATTAAAATTCCTTCCCTCTATTACTGCTTACCATACTCCCTCCCTATGATGCTGCTAATTCTGCATACTGCATAATATGACTTTGAACCCCCCCCCCCCACCTCCTACGCATTCCACAAGTAGTGACTAATCCCAAATCTGCATTTCCCATAAATATGCTAAATTCCTCTTGATATGCAAATTCATTTGTCAAGGCGCCCCTTCCCCCCTCCAACCCAGCTTAAATATACGCTGCCAAGCCTGGTGGTGCCCATTTCAGACGCTGTCTTTCCGACAGACCTGTTCTTCACCTGAGGACGGCTGCTTGCGTTGTGGCCGAAACGTCGTGAGAAATTTTTTAGATTTTTATTATTTTATTATTTCCCTTCTACGTGACTTTACCGAAAGAACCAAGAAGACGCTGTCCTGGTGTTATCCCCGAGTGGTTATCGAACTCGTTCCTCTGGATTTGTAGTGCGGCACGCTCACCACTGCGCCACTGCTCCCCACACACAATCATCGCATTCACGCACATCTCCATCTGCCAGGTCTGAGTCATTGGGTGGAAATTCCACATTCCGACAGTGGTCACCAGGTTTTGTTTTAACTTAGAAGGACGTTAGCTAAATTTTTCTTTTTTTTTATTAAACAAGTAAAAAAAAACACAACGCGCCCAGTGTTTGCTAATGACGGCAGGGTTGAAATATTTGCAGCCTGAAGTATACAGGGCTACCAGTTGCAGCTCGTCACACATTGAAGACGGTGCAGGAGCGTGGATTAAGGGGTCTGTTGCACTCTCTATCATCATCATCTTGCCATCCCCTCGTGCGCGTGGATTCCTCATGATACTCACAATTTCCTCCCACGCTCTAAAATAAAATAATTAGCCAAACAACTAGAAAAAGATGCAACGTTTCCCTTGAACAATACAGTGTTTATACTGGTAGGAACCTCCTGGTTCCACCAGCCCACAGGGGATTATTGTGTCCGTCCGTCCGTCGTGCATCCAAAAATGAGAGGGGTGGGGCTGGGTGGGGAGGGTGGGGAGGGGCTGGGTAGGGAGGGTGGGGAGGGGCTGGATGGGGAGGGTGGGACTTGGGGGGGGTTGGGTGGGGAGGGGCTGGTCACCCCGTGGTGCCCTTATAAAACTCAACGTTTAACCTACTCACGCCGGTTTGTGCCCGCCCTCACAGTCGGGCATATTTGCGGAATACACCACGCCACCGTTGACCCTGGCCAAGACCGAGCAACCCAACGTTCCTATTAGCTCCCTCCGCAGGAATGTGTTAACCTTCAGGTCACAATGTGTTGGGATTTGGTTTGTATGTACGGTATGTTGAACTTCTTTCGCACCGTACACAGCCAACCATGCTAATTGTAGGTGCGGGGGAAGGACAACAAACTAAACACAAAAAGCAGTTCTAAAGAAATTCGTTTTCAATCGAGATTTTAAAGTGCATAGCTCCAGTGGCTGCCTAATATCAGAGTGAAGAGCGTTCCAGATGGGCGCAGAAGTGCATCTGATAGCGTGGGAGGAGGTGACCGTCTTTGTTCGATGGTTAACCAAAAGTCGTTTCTGCGAAGATGAGCAGAGTTCGCATGATGGTTAATGCTCCTTGACGTCGTCAGACACGACATGAATCCAAGAGTTATTAAGCGTACGCAGTCAGTAAATATGAATATTTATATCGCTTTCAACTCGTAGCTACGGTATGCAGAAAAATTCCGTGGGCACATAATGATGGATCGTGCCGTGAATTGTGAACGCACTCACGACGACACGGCGAGTAGTGGAGTTGCGGCCTCTGTGCCACTCGTGAACAGCGCTTCGAACGCTGCTGCAAATCTTCTCAAGCGTGGCCCCCAAGAACACGACCCGCTTCATCCGCTCTGGTGTCGTCTGTTCGACTAGCGGCGCACAGCTGATGATGCTTTAAGCATTGTTACCTGATCGTCGTTGATCTGATTAGGCTGGCACGACAGACACTGAAATTAATGAATCAATTAAATTGCGCACGATGTAAGAATCAATTAATTTTGAATACGATGAACTTGGCTGGACAGGACTCCAGTGCCGCCACTAGAGGCACTGCTACGATCACCACAATATACAATAACGAATCAATTATTGTCTCGAACCATCATGCCTCAAAACCATAACAATTTGTCACTTGCTGTTTGCTAAAAACTAACTTTTTATAAAACCAGGTAAGGCCCACTGAGCTCGATAGATTGTTTTCAAAAGCGACCTGATAGCTCAACGAAGTGGCTTATCACGTGCAAATTTTTTGCAGCCAAATACTCTAAAATAACATTTCTAAACGTGGAGGGAAAGACCGGAGGATCCAGAGAAAAATCCATTTGGCCATGGGGAGAACAGGCAAATTACAAATATCCAGGTAACATCAGGATCGGGATCGAACCCACGACCTCTTGTATACCAGACGAGGCAGTTGACATCTCCTAGCCACCGCGGTGATCTCAGCAGATGCCGGCAGCTCGGCGCGGCTCCGACCTCTCACGAGCCAGCCACCAGCCCCCCCCCCTTCTCTCGCCTCATCCGCCCGTCTCTTCCGCGGCCAGACAAGTCGCGCTCGTGCGAGGAGGAGCGTCAGTCGGTGCTGGAGGAGGACAGGCAGCACCCGCGCGAGGGTGCGTTCGTGCCGGAGTGTGCCGCCGGTGGAGGGGGGCTCTACCAGCCCGTGCAGTGCTACCAGACGACGGGATACTGCTGGTGCGTGCTCGTCGACACGGGGCGGCCCATCCCGGGATCCTCCACCAGGCACGCCCTCCGCACGCTCCTCACTCACTCACTCACGCCGCCCGCCTGGCCACCTCACGTGTCCACGGGGCCTTGGCCGATATCAGAGCGTGCACACAGGCGCTGCCGTGGCTCCACCATGGCTCCATCATGGCTCCACCATGGCTCCACCATGGCTCAACCCGTGGCTCCACCATGGCCCATGGCTCCACCGTGGCTCAACCCTGTGGGCCTTGTGATCCTTGAACGCACGGCCCGTGTGTAGGATTCTAAGGCGAGCGTTCTCTGTCCTCCAGCAGGTATCAAACCCCAAAGTGCGACCCCAACGCGAGGTCAAGAGGTGCCGTGCAAGAGGATCCTTACGACAAGAGGGACCTCGCAGGTCAGAGGGGTGGGGGGAGGGGGGCAGCATCGCCACCGCACGCGTCCAGACGGAGTCAGTGGTGCAACCCCCGATGGAGTTAGTCACACGACACCGGAAGGATTCAGTGATGCAACATAGTAATTGAGTCAACAGATGGATTTGGACGATAGATAAATTGTATTCACATGTAACCGTTGAGTTTTGGTCGTACGACAATTGGTCGTACGCCACTTGTTGAGGCACGACGACGTGACGTCAGAACGTCTGCAGGCGAGATCACGAATCTTGTGTCTCTTCTTCTTTAGTGATGCATTTTGGGGGATTGCAACGGATTACAAACAGATGCCGAGATTTTGATATCAATTCGACTGCTTCAGGAGTAGCCGCATGGACTTGCTTCAGATCGCCGTTGAATGGTCTGATTGGGCAGTCGTTCACGACGTGTTGCACGGTCTGAGATGTTGCACCACCACAGTCACAAGCTGGACTCTCGTTCATTTTCCATTTTTGGAGAAAGCGTCCCCACATCTTCCATGGAGTGTCCGGATCCGATTCAAGGAGTTCCAGATCTTCCTCGGTAGGTCAGATCCAGGTTGGAGGATTGCGGGATGGCTGATGATGGATTTCCACAGCGGGTTGCTGTTTGCCCAGGCTTCCCTCCATCGTGCTTCGGTGATCTTGTCGCCGTCATGGATGCTCTTGGCATATTGCCAGAAAGGCTTTCTGGATTTGAGACACTTGTGCGGTGGTGGCATGGAGATGTTCCTTAAATTTCGATTTAAAGCTTTCGTGACTGCATGGATTCATCTTCTTGGTTCTTTCGGTAAAGTCACGTAGAAGCGAAATAATAAAATAATAAAAATAAAACATAATAAAATAATTCTCACGACGTTTTGGCCACAACGCAAGCAGCCGTCCTCAGGTGAAGAACAGGTCTGTCGGAATGTCGTCTGAATGACGCTGTCTTTCCGACAGACCTGTTCTTCACCTGAGGACGGCTGCTTGAGTTGTGGCCAAAACGTCGTGAGAATTATTTTATTATGTTTTATTTTTATTATTTTATTATTTCTCTTCTACGTGACTTTACCGAAAGAACCAAGAAGGAGATGTCCTTGTTTGGATTTCTGATGGCCTTGCGGTGCTCCTTCACATGCGCGGCATCGCAGCGGAGCTGCTGAGGAGCGATATTTGTGCGGATCAGAAGCCACGGCAGCGGTGTTGCTCTTCAGCATCCCTGAGATGATCCTCATGGCTGCATGTAGCTGCTGTGTATCCACCAGCTTCTGTGTCTCCTATCTCCATGCCTCTCATTTCTCTCTCGGTTATCTTTGCTTCACCTCACCAATCTGCATCTCTCTGCTCCTGCGCGCCTCATCTCTCTGCGGGCCACAGCGCTACGGGCCACGCCGAGAGCCTCCGCAGGCCACGTCAGTCCACCAGTTGATGGCCCCTGCTGTGTGGCAATGCCTGATGGTGACGACGATGATGATGGTGGTGGTGGCGAAATGAGACTATCCAGGACTCTGGAGTTCTCAACTGGTTAAATAAAATAAGATAATTACGTTTTTTTTATTTTATTTTACCAGGGAGGTCCTACTGAGCTAATGTTGCTTTTTTTCAGAAGCGACCTGGCCACAAACTAATGTCGGCACTTGATACACATAGCCTGGTATTGCAGATGAACAGACAACGGAGAAGAAACGTCTAGCTGGGCTTTGGTTAAACGGAGGGCTTTCTCACCGGCGGCAATCACAGGGCAGCATTTCGGAATTGCAAAAACTCGGGGATTAGCGACGCATCGCTTTGGCAATTAAAATTGATTTGTTATCTAGCCACACATGCATTGTTATATGCGTGTTAGAAATATATTTATTGTATATAATTTAGCTCACGCCATCCATTTCACCAGGAGAGGCCGCTACATTCACCGCAGCAGAAACAAAAAATACTCCTTGAATGGGACTGCCACATCGAGTGGTGACAGTTAACGGAATCGCGACGGAGGGCAATTGTTAAAAACTTCCGAAAATAAAATTCTTCAACTTCCAGCTCTTTTCACACAGTAGCCACACGCATTTTTCCTTGGTTCTTTGGATAAAGTCACGTAGATAGAAAAATTATAATAAAATGAATAAAATTATAAAACAATAAAAAAAAAACACTAATGTAGACTGTAGCCTGGTTCTTAATCGCAGTGAGTGTACTGGGAATCTCTAATGTGGACTGTATCCTGGTTACAGTCTACATTATACACTGCCTGTACACTCACCAAGGTTAAGAACCAGACTACAGTCTACATTATAGACTGCCAGTACACTCACCCAGCTTAATACCATTGCTATAGTCTACATTATAGACTGCCAGTACACTCACCAAACTTAATAACCAGGCTACAGTCCACATTAGAGATTGCCAGTACACTCACTCCGGTTATGAACCAGGCTACAGTCTACATTAGTGTTTTTTTATTCACTTTATTTTTTATTAATTTTCTATCTACGTGACTTCACCAAAAGAACCAAAGAATATGAATTCCTGCAGTCACGGAAGTTTTAAGTCAAAATTTAGCCACAAACATTGCTGAGACGTAACCCTGAGCCGGTGGCAGAAATGCCACATACCTATGGCAGGGGCAAGTCTCCCCCATCAGACAACCAATCTTGATTCGGCCAGGCAGCTCAGTGGTAGAGGGAGCGGCTCGCGATCCGGAGGTAGCAAGTTCAACTTCTGGTTGGTGGTTAGACTCGGCCCATTATCTCTTCCGAGTATGCAGGCATGTTGCACTTCTTTCCTGCCGTACGTAGCCAACCGTGCGAATCAGAGGTGCGAAAATACTGGCTGCCTACCTGCCATGCACTTATATAGGGGAGTCAGCTGAGACATCAGCAGCCTTGTTTACAGGGAGCCGCATTCCAAGGTGTGTCGTGTCAACTCGTGCGTCGACTTATTATAGCCGCTGAGAAATTCCAACGGAGGGGAGGAAAAGGCGTTTCCACCCTAAATCATTATTTATCGCAGAAAAGAAGCCCGGTTTGTGTTAAGGAGGGGCACTGTTGATCCACGGGGAGCCTTGAAGCATCTCCTAGCTGTTGCCGCGTGAGAAGGGAGCGCGCCATCATCGAACAAGAAGAACCGCAGTATTGTTGTTTCGTTTCTTCTCTCCCCACATACTTCTGCTCCAAAAAACACAGTTACATTTCAGAATGAATCGGTGCACGTTTGTATGTTTTGGGTGCCGCGGTGGCGAGATGTTAACTCCCTCGTCTGGTATGCAGGAGGTCGTGGGTTCGACCCCTACCCTGACGCCTGCTGCTGTATATTTGGAGTTTTTTCTCTCCCCGTGGTGGCATGGATTTTTCTCCGGGCTCTCTGGTTTTCCCTCCACATTAAGAAACATGCGTTTTAATTATTTGGCTGCTAAACATTTCCACATAAGCCACTTCATTGAGCTATCATTTGTGGTCGGGTCGCTTCTGAAAAAGAGGTAGAAAGCTCAGTGTGTCTTACCTGGTAAAAAATTATAATAATTTAAATAGTTTGATGTTGAACTTCTTTCGCACCGTACGTATCCAGCCGTGCTAATCGGAGGTGCGGCAGAAGGACAACAAAATAAACACCAAAAGCATTTATAAATAAATGAGTTTTCAATCTTGATTTAAAAGTGCATAGCTGCAGTGGCTTGCTAATATGCTCATGAAGCGCATCTGAAAGCGCGTAATGCAGTGACCGTCTTTGCTCGATGGTTCGCCAAAAGCTGCTGCGAGGATGACCGGAATTCGCGCGATGGTTTATGCTCCTTCTTGTCGAGGATGATAGAAACTCACGTGCACCTGGTTCACCTAACAATTATAATTATTGTTATGATTTGGTTATGCTGCTGCTGCATGGGCAGTGGTGCACGAGCACAATTAACACAATGTGTTGAGATTTTTGTTAAGAATAATGATATTTTACAACCCTTTGTTAATCAACTGCTGGATAGACTTCCCCCCCAACCCCATGCTGCATCGGACGTACGGGTTGTTTGAACATACGGCGTAGAAGTACAGTACAACAATGGATTTCACCGCGCTGCCCTCTACTGCCCACAACGCAGCCCAGCAGGAGCTTGTCGCATCTGCTGCGAGTCGTGGTTGCCCACCGCAGCCAGGGTTGCGATTTCCGCATGGAAAATGCGGAAGGAGGGTTCAAATTTTCCCGCATTTTTGCTAAAGTCAACCGCAAACGGTGGAAAGACTACTCCTATGACCGCGCGCTTTTAACAACACGGTAATGCGTTCTATTGGAAAGGATACATGCAAGGCCCAGCATCACGTAGGGCTTTGAGTTACTGATTGGAATGAATATATGATTTCCGCATTTCCGCACAAGAACCACATACTTTATTCAAAAGCGGAGCCGTGATTACGAGCACATGTACATGATGTATCCTTTCCAATAGAACGCATTAACGTGTTGTTAAAAGCGCGCGGTCATAGGAGTAGTCTTTCCACCGTTTGCGGTTGACTTTAGCAAAAATGCGGGAAAATTTGAACCCTCCTTCCGCATTTTCCATGCGGAAATCGCAACCCTGACCGCAGCCAGTAAAAGTGAACCGAGATGATCGGATCAGCCGAGGCACATCACCTGAGAGGAATCCCACGGTAAAGACGCAATCGTCAAAGCACGCAACATGGTGCCGACGAGCTATCGGTCTCGTGCAGAAAGAAAAAAAAACGCACACCCCCGCTAAATTTCATCATCATCGGACAATTGCAGAGTAAACAGGAGATAAAATATAGACACGCTATGAATCAAGGGTAGTTTACTGACACTGGTGGGACTTTTTGTGCGTGTTTCTTTTTTTTTTTAAATGACCTCTGCTTTATGCCAGGGTGTCCCGGTGGGAAGAAAGCGCAGTTCATCACGTCTCTGCTGGACGCGCTCATCACCGACATGGTCAAGGCCGTGAAGGCGGCGGAATCCTCCCCGGGGATAAAGTGAGAGCCCTCCCAAACTCACCGCCGCGGGGCCAAACCAATACACGCGCGGGGACTTCGCCGATCGTTAATCACCCGGGGGGCAAAGTTGAAGCCGAGCAACGGTTTCGAGTGAACCAAAACCAACCGTGGCCCCCCCACCCACCCAGCTACCCAGCCCAGCTTTGCCACAGGGGATCCCCCCCCCCTACCCACCCCGTCACCACCCCCGCTAACTCAGTAGACATTCGGGGGTCCTTTGTACCGATGTGATTTATTGTCAGGGAATTCAGATGTGTGTGTGTGTGGGGGGGGGGGGGGTTGATTTTTAAACTTGGCCAATAATGCCGATTCGCGGTGGCCGTTTGCCTGTGCACGTTGCTCGTGACTCACAGCTTCGTGGGTACACGTGTCTCTGCGACGCGCAGGATGGAGGAACCCGACCCGAGCCAGACGCTGGAGGAGCGCGCGGTCCGCTGGTTCTTCACGCAGCTGGATCGCAGCGGGCGCGGCGTCGTGGGCCGCAAGGAGATGAGGCCCCTACGCCGCTTCCTCAAGAGAAGGCCCAAGCCGCAGCGGTGCGGCCGCAAGTTCATGGAGTACTGCGACCTCAACGGCAACAAGGCGCTCTCGCTGCCCGAGCTCAAGGGATGCCTGGGGGTCGGCCGAGAGCAGAGTGAGTGTGGGGACGCACAGCGGGGAGCAGGGGAGGGGGAGCTATGGGGGTGACTCTCATTCAAAGCCAAAGCACACAGCGCTCGAAACACCGAGGACTCGATTGCCATTTGAAACGTTTCCCAAACTAAGATTGAAAGCCTTTGCGTATTAGCTATGTCTGTCTGTTCGTAACGGGGGTGGGTGGGGTGGGAGGACACAATAATAACTCACGGAAAGATCAGTCCAATATGAACGAAGCTATTCGGGAATTCCTCTGTTGAAAACCAGAACCAGCCGCACGGATACAACAACAAAAATCAGCAGCCCAAAAGTGGGGACACAAAGGCAGAGCAAAAAAGACCTGTACTGACATCTGCAAATGTGCATACAGGTCTTATGTTTTATCGTACCAGCTGCCTGTCGGTTTTTGCAGTACTCATGGAATAATTCCGAGGGCGAATCGAGGTGGCGGAGGTGTTTGTCTGATGATAATCTAATTGCCCACCAATGACCTCTGTGATGGCGCAGTGGTTAGCGTACTGCACAACGAACCCAGCGACCCGAGTTCTATCCCGCTCACGACCAATATCAGTGATTAATATCGGAACCGGCCCTGGGCCTCCCCTTAGTCGACTCAGCCTTAAATGAGCGCCTGGTGTAGTGTCAACATCGGCACTGGGGAGACAAAGGCGGCCGGGCGTGGCCACCCACCCCCTCGTGTGCCGTGCTTGCCTTCATAGGTGCTACTCGCGAACAGCACTTGCCCCAACAGTCTGTTCAAGGCTATATGGGGGATCTTTGTCTTCATTACCCGCCATTGATAGGTATTTAAAAGTCCTCTTCGACCCTCGTTAAGGAAAACCGTCATTAGAGATTACCGCACTAACCGATTGACAGCTACCTGTTAGTCGGTTATTTTAAAACAGAATATGTATTTAGACCTGAGGAATCCGATGAGCTATAAAGCTCTTTTTCACAGATGTCCAGTAGGGGCAGGTAACGTTACAACAACAACAACAAAACACGATGATAGTGCAAAGTACAAGAAAGGTAAACAAATCACCCAAACAAATACAACTAAACCAAGCCCATGCTATTAGACAAAGCCCACCGAGGTATTAACTTGTTTTTTCAGATGCGACCTGGCCACAAATTATAGCTCAACGAAGTGGCTTATCATGTGGACATTTATAGCAGCAAAACAATCGAAGTAGTCTAACTCTAGACACGAGTAAGCTTCATTTTGAACAGCACCCAGCCTCCCTATTGAGCCTATCAAATATGAAAGCGGTTCTGGTAATATTTACGCGATCTAACCCAAAACACCTGCACCGTGGATATTGGTCACGACAGCCTACGGTGTTAAACTAACAAAAAAAATCTTGCTGCTCGTTTGTTTCCAAAGTCGGGATGTTTCTAATCTGACTTTGTGTTTACTTCACGGGGCAACAACTGGATTCGTCTTTGTGCTCCCACGCAGGCCAGCCCCGTGGCATGTGTAGAACGGTGGCTGTGTTTGCGACTGTTCAAAACGACAGAACAAGTAGAATCCCGATACGCTTTTCCACCAAAACGTTTTATTCGCCGAACAATCTGATCCCACGAAATCTTCCCGAACAAAACGATACATTATCCGCTTATTTCATGCAGCATTGGCAATCCGACACTGACACACGGGCACGGCACGCGTGGGGATGGTGTGGGCAACACGACATCTTACTGAATACAAAGACAAACATACCCCATATAGCCTTACCAGACTGTTGGAGCAAGTGTTTTTAACGAGCACCTATTAAAGCTGGAACGGTACAGAACAGGGTGGGTGGCCAGCACCACGCCCAACCGCCTTTGTCTTCCCAGTGGCGATGTTGACACGCCACATCAGACACTCATTTGAGGCTGAGTCGAACGAGGGGATGCCCAAGACCGATTCAGATAATACTGTGACTGGTGATGGCCGTGAGCGGGAATCGAACTCGGGTCGCCAGGATCGTAGCGCAGCGCGCTAACCCCTGCACACCCGCTCCCCTGACTGAATACAAAGACACAGATTCACATAAATGCACACGTACGGGCAGTTAAACACGCAGAGACACAGACACAAATTCACACACACTCAGTTTGGCTCGCCGACACGAGCTGGCATTCAAGATGTCCCCGAAGCATCGGCAACAACAAAAATATAAAAAAATTACAACTTTTTTTTTTACGGGTAATAAATAGCCAACGTTTTATTATTTCTAGCAGAGATGGGGGGGGCTTTAAATTCAGGGCAGCGCATAATAAACTCGAGTCTTAAAAAAAAAATCTAACGTCAACAGCCGACTGGAACGTAACCTTTCAGAATGTGTCATTTGAAGTTGAGCGACTGCACTGGGGCTTTTTAGCTCAGGGTGGCAGTTATTTATGTACTTTGAGAGCTGTACTTGGCAATGCCAGCAGTGGACTTAGCAATGGGGCTCTGAACAGCACTGGGATAGAACACCGTTTCTCAACGCAGCGTCAATAAGCTTGCTTTTTGTAACTCAATCCAACGGGAGCCTCTCAAAGCTTCGTGTCTTGATTGACGGCAGATTAAGAAAAAAATCCATTTACTCCCGAGAGGTTGAATATATCTTGATTTTTTTTAGACGCGTAAACAAAATAATGAATGAATAGTTACGGTGATTTTTATATTTTTTTTCTAAGCTCATCTTCCCAATCCTGTATTATTATTTTTAGTTGAGAGAGGGGAGAATAGCTTTATTAAAATTAGGAAAAATACAGCCACATGGGGGAGACAAATAAGGTTTTACTGGTAGGAACCTCCTGGTGACACCAGCCCACAGGGGAGTATTGTGTCCGTCCGTCGTGCATCCAAAAATGGGAGGGGTGGGGCTGGATGGAGAGGGGAGGGTGGGGAGGGGCTGGGTGGGGAGAGGCTGGATGGGGGAGGGTGGGGAGGGGCTGGGAGGGGCTGGGTGGGGAGGGTGGGGAGGGGCTGGGAGGGGCTGGGTGGGGAGGGTGGGGAGAGGCTAGGTGGGGGAGGGGCTGGGTGGGGAGGGTGGGTCTGGGTGGGGGGTGGGAGGGGTGGGGCTGGGTGGGGAGGGGCTGGTCACCCCGTGGTGCCCTTATAAAACTCAACGTTTAACCTACTCACGCCAGCTTGTGCCCGCCCTCAGTCGGCCATATTTGCGGAATACACCACGCCGCCGTTGACTCTGGCCATTGACCGAGCAACCCAACGTTCCTACCAGCTCCCTCCGCAGGAATGTGTTTTTAGCTGGACTTCACGTGTGAAAATTCACAGGCATTTCACGGTATTTATATGCAAGAGTCACTCGTGTGCGTGCCTGTTTTTTTTGCTCTACCCACAGAAGGTGCTGGTGGCAATCAAGCGCAGCGTAAAAGGCAAGAGACAAACCACATGCATAATAAACACCCAGAGCCGCGAACGCTTTGGAGAAATACAACTGTAGAGGTGTTCCAGGTGCCTCTAGGGCAAGGGGGTCCGGCAACCTACGGCTCTCCGGAGCCGCATGTGGCTCTGATGACTGCGTCGTGACGTCGTTAACCACGTGCATTGCTGGTCTTGAATTAGAAGGGTTTGTTTAGAATTCGAAAAAAAATGCTCTTGGTTGTGATTACGATTGTCAACCCCTGCTCCAGGGTGGGAACTTTGAGCTGCCAATGTTGAGAATCTGCAAGTCAAAGTAGTAGCCACAACCCGGGATGAAACCTCGTTTCTCAAACGTAGCGTGTTCATGATCTCAGCCCTGTCACCAATGGCTGGAGAAAAAGCCGTTGTGTTAAGCTTGATTTTTCACTTCGTCTGGCTAAATTACATCAGGTTCACCGCCGTGCAATGGACATTCCTCTGTGGTAGCGGGTAAGTGCTGGACATCTGTGGAAACGAGATGTACAGCTCATCGGATTCCTCCAGTATAAATACAGATTCTGATTCTGACGTGGAAAGGAACGCCCCCCCTCCCCCACTTATAGTGTGGATTGAAGAGGTCACTCAAGATTTCCGAAGCAGCTCTACATCCCATCCCGCAGGCCATTCTCTAACACATGGGGTTGTCTTGCTCTTGCAAGAATTTCAAATAGACACGTGCATCTCTGGAATACATGTTTTTATTTTCTTCACTTTTTTTAAAATAAATATTAGTAATCATAATCAAGGTACTTGGGTTAGAACACGTTATCTAAGATAAAAAAAAAACCTTTATTACGAATATTTGTCGCGAAAGCCGATTTGTTATATACTATTCAAGTGTAGATTTGAAGCTTTCGTGACTGCAAGGATTCATATTCTTAGGTTTTTTCGGTAAAGTCACGTAGGTAAAAAAATTAAATTAATAAAAGTAAAATAAAACAAAATAAAAAAATCACGACGTTTCCGAAACGTCGTGATTGTTTATTTTATTTTACTTGTATTAAATTAAAATTTTTTACCTACGTGACTTTACCGAAAAAAACCCAAGAATACTATTCTAGTGAACATTTTCGCCCACCGCACTCACCTGCAGCTCGCTCATCACAGCCAACGCGGCGGTATTTTTTCCTCCAGGACAAGAGATGCGATCAAATAAACCATGCAGGCGTGGTGGTGGGGGGGACCGTGCCAGTCACGGCTGGTGCGCGCGCCGCTCTCGTCTCAACAATTTGGGTTTTCTCAATGCCAGCGACGGTGTGCCCCTGTTGCGGGTCTCCCCCTAGGTCCACTCGGTGGGAAAAATGAGTTGCTCAGTTCGAGTCACTTTAGCACGCCCACTCTTGTGTCTTTGTTGGCACAATCAACTGCGGCGTTTAAATCAGCGGCTCTGTAGCGGACGTTGGCATGGGGAGATTGTCATTTTGAAAATGCCCGAGTTAAATTACGCGAATGTGTGTCAGCCCCCACAAGTAGGAGCAGAGGGGTGTGTAATTGCCGCCAGTACGATGCCGTATCTGAATGCTGTCGCCGGGCTGACGGGCTCACAAACTTCGGCTGACTGTGATTTCCTCTGTCCGTCCAGCAGGCCATCAGGAGTGAGGCAAAGTCAGAGGAGGAGAGATTAGCCGGGTCGACTACCATGCAAGCCGATGGCTGACGTCGCGAGAGGCTGTGAAAAAAAGAAAAGGGAAAAAAAAAGTCGAAGGATTTTTTTTTTTGACATTCGGAGCGTTGTAAGTGCACTTTCGAGCAAGCGAGAGCGGTGATGATTAACACGCATTAACCCACCAGTGCCTAGGGACCACCATTGTCCAGCTTTATGAAGCTTACCTAACAACAGACGATAAGTAAATTATATTTTATTAATCCGCATAAACGAGCGTCGGTAATTTGTAACTCAGCCTGGCAGTGGTGGTCCGAGAGGACTGCGGGTTTGTCGACTGAACGGAGGAAGGGGGGAGCGTGAACGTCGCTCCCCCGGTACGAATCGCGACGAGCTGTCGTTATTGTTGTTGTTGTCGTTCCTTAAAAAAAACGGATCTCCACATCGATCCGTGAAGCTGGCGAAAATTGTTTCGGTTTTGTTTACGCGACGTTTTCCCGCCCGCGACGCGCGCGTCGAGAAGCGGACAACGCAGAGCGGGACACGAATCCCGGGACCAACACCGCCACCACCGCCGCCGCCGCCGCCGCCGCCACCACCACGTGGCCACGCGACAATCTTGTGCCGCCCGTGTGACTCGCGCCGTCACCACCGGGTTCCTCGGCGTGCTTCGCTCTACCGTCTCGTGGGACGGTCACTTTGTCGACGGCCACGTGTTCAAGCTCTTCGGAGCTGGTGGTTTGGGCAAGGTTGAGGGCACTGGGGTGGGTGGTCGCGTGACGTGCACGCACGGCATGATGGGCGTCCGTGCCTTCATGCCGTTCGTGAGCAGCATGCCTTTGTGCAAGCGTTTTCTTATCGTGGTGGATTTTTTTTTTAATAATAATAATTTGCGGAAAGTGTTGGATACAATTGCCGTCTCTCTCTCTCTCCATTTCACTCTCGCCCTTGATCTTGCGGTTACAAAACCGTAATCACCAAGTGTTTTTCTGCACCTGGTTACACGATTGATTTCTATGGAACACACCTCGTGGTTGTGTTACCCCGTGTGTGCAAACGGTTTTGCCTACGAGAATTCAATGTTGTCAGTGGGTCAGTGGGCAGCGTCACGGTTAGCGAGACGCGCTACGAATCCTGGCGACTCCGGCCAAGGTTCACATGAGTGGCGATTCGATGAACCGGTCCCTCTGCTCAACTCGGCTTCGAATGCGTACCAATCGCGTTGTGTAAACGTCAGCATTTGGGGATAAATGCGTGGTGCTGGCCACACCACCACCACCACCCACTGGTGCGCCGTCCAGGCCTTCGTAAGCGCTCGCTAACAGGGCATGCTCCCAACAGCCTGTTAAAGATTATGGGTTGGATATTTGTCTTATTTGTGTGCAAACAAGAGAAATTTCAGTTGGGTAAGAGAGAGACGGATAATTTTGAAACTCCCAAGTGGCAACCCCAATCACCGCTGGTGTATCCCCTGTGCCAAGTTCTGCCGATGACGATGCTTTTGTGCGCGGAATGCGTCCACGAGTGGAAGATTGACCTCTGCGTTCCACACACAGAGTGTATGTGCGACTCCAGTTACAGAAGAGACTGGAAAAAAAGACAAAAAAGAGAACAGAATAGCTTGTCGTTAAACTGCAAAAAAATAATTAGATTTGTTTGCAGTAATTTGTTTATATTGCCGTGATCTAGAAACTAGACTAGTTTTTTTCGCCAGGTTTTAGATGACCGTAGGAAACAGGACAAGTATTTGTACATTCTGCAGTGTTTCGCTAACTTAATTTCTCCGCGGAGCACGGCACTTTGGGGTAAGTATAAGCCCCATCTAAAAAAAACACAAACAATAACTCGTACACACTCCTCGTAAGAAGCAACGTCAGGACTCATTAACAAGATACCGATAGCATTCGCGTCAAAAGTAAGCATTGCCTGTAGGGATTTTTCTTTAGTTGTGTTTTTGTTTTCATTCGTTTTTTGTCACGCAAAATCAGTGGCGGATCGCGACGGCTTGGGGGAGGGAGGCCTCCAGGGGGTTATTAACCCTTTCCCATTCCGTCATCGGAACGGAGTCGGAAGAGAAAAAAAAAGCTCAAATAAAATAACTTTATTGGTGCAGAGGCTCCCACAAGGCCGTGTGCGGGAGGGCGCGTGGCACAGTTTGGCGCCGGCTATCAAAGTGTATGGTCGTGTTCGCTCCGGTTCTCTGCGGCGAGGACGACGTGTTTAAAAACAACGGCGCTCTGCTTCTCTAAATACAATCAACGCAGAGAGCCACTCGCGCGTTCCGAGATTGGGCGGCGAACGGGACACCCGCAACCCTGCAACATTCAGACGTCTCCGTACGGGAGAGGGTTAAACGAGGCTAGAGGGACCCACTTTTGAACCCCGTCCAAAAAAATGTGGCTGTGAAATTGCCCAGCGAAGCCATCGCCAACAGAAGGGCTATTTTCTGACCTGTCTCTCTCCCTGCCCACAAACTTGCCTTCACCCCGCACCTGAGACTGGTGAGAGCGTGAAAATTTATCACCAAAAAGAAAAAAAATTAACCCGTAAAAACAAGTTTTTCACTATAAATCCTTTATATGCGTGGCGGCTAGAGTCCTCTCGTCCTCTGGCTTGAGATGGCTCCCACCTATGGGTCAGATGATTGTCGCCAGCATTAAGCAATTGGTAATTAAATATTTAAAAAAATTTCCCTAAACAGTGTAAAATTTTGGAAAAAAAATTTCACGAAAATTGTCACGCACAACGAGTCTGTGTGGAAAATGTCAGCTTGATTGGATCATGGGAAGTGGGTTAAAAAACGACCGAAAGATTTGCACGGTCGTAAGCAAGCAAGCAAGCACGCAAGCAAGCGAACTTAATATAAAGGATTTAAAAAAGGGACTTGGAAGTTTACTCGAATAGTTGAATCCCCTCGCGTTGGTCTATTGAAATTCTGCACGTCCCCTGTGAGACGTAGATCTGTGTAGCAGCATTACAAAACAATTCTCTCGGCACTTAGAAACAAATCATTCAGCTGGCAGAGACGTTTCTTTATAAATCAAAACGTGGAACGAACCAGACTTCGCTTTTTTAGTTTTCAACGTTAGCTACCGTAACCCACGATCGTGCATCGGTGTTGAGCTTACGTGCACACGAAAAACGTGGCCACGGACATGGCTCCATCCAGAGGGAGCTACCAGCCCCGTTCTGGGGCTTGGAGGTTTGCTTTCTGCTTTGCACAGGGTTGTTGGCAGCTGCCGAGCATCGATTCATTCCATCAAGCAACCGGTGTGGTGTCATTCTGAAGCCTGGTCGATTAACACACACTTGCCCTCTCGAAAATAAACACAATCAACCCTGTCCGTTGGTGCATGCTCGATGGGAACTGCTTTTTTTAATTTATCTAAAGCGCAGATGGAAACTTAAGACGATTGTATTGCCCCCTCAGCGTCCCAGTAGCCTCACAAACGGTTGGACAAAAGTTACGCCGATTATACAGCCCCCTTGTGGTTCTCCTGAATGTGAATACTTACTCGGGACAGTGGGCATGTGCACACTGAAATCATTTTTTGTCGATCCACTGCTGGATACCTAGCCTCCCCACACCGTGCAGGTTTGTGGGGGATTTTTTTTAACCATACTTCACCCCGCTGGTCAATGTTAGTTGGCGAGGACAAGGGGCATTGATTTCAGACAAGTACAGTACAACAATGGATTTTGTTGAACATCATTCAGCTGCCGAGCACCACAACCTCCGATTCGCACGGTTGGCTATGTACGGTGTGAAAGAAGTTCAACATACTGTTCATACAGCCAAAAATAACTCATTATGCAACGTGTTTGCTCCCTCCGAGCACAATCACAGCTGAACTCCCAGCTTAATTTGAGATGCAATGAGCTCGGATGCATTCCGGGCGATTTGGTCACACGCAGATAGTATGATAAAAAGTGTGCTACTTGTTGGATTGCAGGTGATGGGGCAAATCATCTGTGACTGGGTTTAGTTTTACAATCGATTAACCATGAAGCAAGCTAGGTCGCATGCAAGGGTGTTGATGGTTTCCAGTTTTTTAAAGCCAAGGACACCATGACACCACTCTAGCCCCAGTTTGAAATCGAAAAAAAATATTTTTTAAATGAAATGCAAAAAAACTTAAAAAATGTAATAAAGGCAAGTTAAAGAGTAATGTGTGCAAAGGGGCCGTTATTCTTCTGTGGTATCTTTAACCTCGGTCACTCCCAGTGGTGACCCTCCGAATGATCTGCTTCCATCTCTTTCATGCTGCAGTAAAAATGAGTCCAAGGCCGAAATTCCAAGAACACCAGAACATCAGCACAAAACCTCTCCCTCATATACAACTTGATGATGATAAACGCTATTTATAACGCGCACATATTTCGAGAATCGAACCCAATATTCTATCGATAACTCGGCGCGTGGAGCCAGATCTCAAAGTCCCTCGTACATGAGCTTGAACAGGTGAGAGAGAGACTCCACCACCAGGAAATCTGATCGATCAAAGCCACCCCCATTCTGAAATGACACGAGCACCAGCCGCCAATGGTATTGTATTGGATTTAAAATGTGCGAAATCGGTGCCAGATCACTAGTAATGTCCCCACGTATTAGCTGAATATCAACTGCCGCTACCCACATAAAACACATTTAAGCTCTCTAACGCCTGAACAAAAAGAAACAACTAAAGTTATGAGATCATTTGCACGAGCAGTTTCAAGTTGGTGGCCAGGTTGCCTAAACCAAATCCCAGGGAGTGACTGTAAATGAAGTGGCGGCTTCCAGTGACGGGCCACTGACAAAGTGGAACTTCCAAGCAGGGACAGCACAAATTGCCACTTGCTAAAAGCTCTCCTGTCTGTCCTGCAGCTATACATCTCCTGCGATGTGTCACTGAATGGCAATTGTGTTGTCGAAATAAAACACCCTCATATTGCTGCACAACGTGTTTTCGCCACGCTTCGGAAAACCTTCGTCACAGATTGAACATTGCAGAAATTGTACGAACCGCATGAAAAAATTTGAACGTTTGCCAAATTTCGGGGTTCTGGCACAGCCAAACATCACGGTCTAAAAGACGTGGGCTGTACATCTCTTCGTCCCACCATTGGACGCTGTTGTGAAACACTCGATCTCTTTATACATCGGCGTGGCCTCAAAAAAATCTTTCACAAAAACGTGCACAGACACTTTTCAGTTATTTACTTTTTACACCCTTTCCAAAAAACCACGCACTCCCAGGGACAACATTCTCAACCGCTAATTGGAAGTTTGATCCAACGGGGCACCAGACGTGGAGCCAGGACAGCAGATAAACAGGCAAACGGCACACGGCTGCTGCCAAATTCTCTTCTGCTGGCAGTCGCCTCGGTCTGTCGGGCGTCAGCGAACCACCAATGGCACACGCACGGGCTGTACTTAAACTATGAACTATTTTTTGTATTTGACCAGATAAGGCCCACCGAGCTGTATAGCTCTTTTTTCAGAAGCGACCTGGCTGTCACAAATGATAGCTCAACAAAAGTGGCTTGTCATGTGGAAATCTAGGGCAGCCAAATACTAGTCTATGGCCCTTTCGGTAAAGCCACGTCGATAAAAAAATAAGAAATAAAAAATTGAATGAAAAATAATTAAATATCACGACGTTTCGATCGCCACACAAGCGAGTCTCACCGGAACAATGCGATAGTCCGCAACATTCCGCGCGTCATAAGTTGTGTTATTATTAAATATATAACCCACAGGCTGCCAGACTGCTGGGGGGGGGGGGGTACAGGGGTAAGGGTTTAAAACAAAAACTTCAAGTAAAAAAAACTAATATTGGTATTTACGGGGCTCCACAATGTTGAACAGCGCAGCTTACGCATCAACAAAAACTCCAACAGTGCACACACAAAAAAAAGGGTCGGTAAATATCAGCACTAATGTGGGGTTTGGGCAGTCAAGTCGGTCCCCTTACGACCGTGGAAGCGATTCGTCCGTCGTGCCGTCCGCCAGTTAACTGCCGCGCACGCCGACTGGTGGCGAGTCGTTCATCAGGCGCCCACAGTGTTGCTCTTGGTTAGTGTCCCTTGCATTTCTGGAACAAAAGCATTATTCTGCTAATGCACTCTGTCAGGCCAACCTCTTCCCCCGCGCCCCCCACCCTCCAAGGGCTGGATAAGTAAAACCACTTAATTTGTTTGGCACGATTGATGTTACTTGGTCATAAAGCATAGCGCAGTCTCCAAGAACAAGGAACAAACGCTAGGTGCTGTGCACTCTTGCGGCTAAGCAGGCTTAATAAACGCAAAAAAATTACGATATATTTATATTTGTAAGAAATCCGACTGCATATTTATTTTTATTAACGTTACAAGAACTCGGTAACAGCTCGAACGTTTTTCTCCACAAATACTTTTGAACAATTTTAATGCTACAGGTTGTAATGCAGATATTTACATTAGAAATTACAGACGTGAAATTCGGGGCACTTTAGTGTTGGGGCAGTTCGGATCGGTCTTAACGCAGGCAGGGGTCGGCAGCCTGGAGCTCGGCAGCCGCGTCTGCCTCTTTAAGGACCGCTTCGTGAGCTATTTAATAAGGAACGCCGTCCCTTATTCTCATTGCATTGTGGCTCTTGAAATATATTAAGTTGCTTACCGAATTCGATAAAAAAAATGGCTCCTCTTTGTTAGTGGTTGTAGAACCCTGGTCTAATGAAACCCTAAAACATTTAATCAATTAGCCATTGTGTATAAAAAGTACAGAGCTCACCGCCACCGAGTGTGATCTTCTTTGGTTCAAGCAGTTACATTGATCCCCGGAAATGCGAAGGCGTGCAGGTGTCATGGACCAAACATGTGGTCAAACGTACTGCAAACACATTCCTGTGGAGGGAGCTGGTAGGAACGTTGGGTTGCTCGGTCAATGGCGGTGTGGTGTATTCCGCAAATATGCCCGACTGAGGGCGGGCACAAGCCAGCGTGAGTAGGTTAAACGTTGAGTTTAATAAGGGCACCACGGGGTGACCAGCCCCACCTCTCCAACCCTCCACCCCCCCCCCACCCCCTCTGCACCCAGCCCCACCCCTCCCATTTTTGGATGCACGTTGGACGAACACAATAATCCCCTGTGGGCTGGTGTAACCAGGAGGTTCCTACCAGTATAACCACACGAATGGGCTAGTGCAGCATACCGAAATACAAGCTCACGCCGCTGATGAAGACCTGACAGAGGGTGAAGAATGAATTAAGTCGTCTTAAATTCCAACGCACACATCAGACTTGGGGGTCACCAGTGTGACATTTTTCACCCCCCCACCTGCACCCGAGTTAAAGTCATCACAACAGATTGCTTGGATGATATTCCTACCAATTTCTCACGGGTTGAAATGAATCAACCAAGTTGTAAAGTGTTAACTTGCAGTCCAAATTTTGTTCGTGTAATTCTGACCACAATGAGCACAGAACTCCATTTCAACAGGAAACGTTTGCATATAACCAAACTCTTTGTCCCTTGCCTTTTAGTATGTATTTAAACGTACACACGTTAAAATAAATGAATGGCGTGTATGAACAAACATTTGCAATAAAATGTGAAAGAATACAATGTCACAAATGGTTTATCATACTTTATTGTGTACTCAAAAGCTGACGCTATATGAGGAGCATTATTTACTATCATAAACCAGGGGAACAAATAGTACATCGTGGATTGGTGTACAGGATTAACGTTGTAAAAAGGCCATGTAAAAATATATTCATCAGAATATCTACTCCTTGTACCCGCCTTGCATCACATTTAATTATTTTTCATATTATTCATTACCTAATGGCTGCCTATATATGTTAAATGACACGGAAAACATTATCCTTTAGATGGGCGAATATCTTTTTTTTCAAAGCAAACATGACAGCTTAAATTACTTTCAACGATTCGATTTTCATTAGTGTCGTTCCAGCGTGAACATTTCTTTTAAAAAGTTGAAGAAAAATGTCATGTTTCAAAGTGAACGAAATTAATTGATTCAGTGTTACAAGACACCCGCATATCTTCCTTTGCCCACCCTCACTCACTATACACACGCAACGTTTATGTACACACGCGACAACCAGTAGAAACTAGGTGCAATGCACAAAAGCTATGACACAATGCCGTTTCATCTTGCACAACAAATAAAGGCACCCCAGTTGTGTCGCTCTACAAGAGAGCTGCGAGTGAAGAGATCAGCATGGAACACTAAAGGCCCACGCCGTGATAGTTCCAACCGCAGAATGCAGGCGGCGCGCCGGTCCCGAGTCTCTGCGATACGCACGTGATCAAACGGCGCTGCGATGTCAGGGCCCGCGCGCTCAGTCGAGGCAGCTCTGCTCGCCGGGCGACTCGTCACCACCGAGCGGCGACGGTGGCTTCGCGACGCGAGAGAGCGGCGGCAGCGACCTGGGCGTGCGCGAAGTCACACGCGGCACCTTGGATTGTTGCATTTGCAACAGCTGCGGCATGGGCCTCAACGCCGGTTTCTTGCCCATCGTCGCCCCCAAGGAATGTGTCGTCGCCTGGGCCCCCGGCGATAGGGGCCCCGGTGATTCCTCTCCATCTGCCGCCACTACGGCAGCTGTGGTGGTTGTCACCGTCGCCGGCACGGTCGAGGAGACCTTGACCTGCAAGGAGGAGAGAGATGCCGGGGGCCCCGTGGTGGCTGTGGGCTTGCTGGGTGGGTCGGGCAAACACCTGGCGGACGCCTGCAAAGCCAACGTGGCCTGTTGGGACAGTGACAGGGTGGGAAGCCTCACACTGCACGGAATGGTGCCCATGGCGGAGGCAGCGTTTATACAGCCAGATGCCAGAAACATGGAGGGAAGCCGCGTTGGACGGTGGGACAAGGGGGCATGCGAGGAATTATTTGTAGGGAGAGTTCTGGTGGACGCCGGGGTACAGCTGCTTGGGTGGTCTTTGCTGAGGTTATCTCCACGAGTTGATGATGCCGACAATGTCAGAGGCTCGAGTGGCACTGGAGGGCTCGGTGGGGAAGGGTTGACAATTGATCCTTTGTAGGAATGTGTAGGGGACACGGCCGCTGGGCCTTCAGTGTCGGCATCGCTCATGGAGGTATCCGCATTGTCCTGGTGGGCGTCATCAGCGTCCGGACTCATCACTGATGCGAGACTGCCGACGCTGTCCACAGAGACGGTTTCACAAGGCGTGTTGTTGTCTGCAACACTTGCATTGTTCGCTATGCCATCTTTTAAGAGGGGGGCCTCATCACCTTTCGTACGGCATTCATTCGATTGCTCAACAGCAAGCGATGTTACGCTCACTATTTTGAACAAATCAGAATCTGCAATACAAGAAAGGCATAAACTCAAATTAACACGAGAGTTAGAAAATCCAAGTCGACTCGAGTGACGGACGTGCATCAAAACGCACAAAAATTACACGTGGTTAAGAGTAACACAAGACACTCCATTACCTATTAGATTTGATAAAAAAATACATACCGGGGTCTTCCGCCTCATCTTGCCCTGCAGTCTCAGTCGTCTCCATCAAGTCCGTACCGCTCTTGCCGTCTGGCACCTCTTTACTCGCCGCCCATGAGCTTCCATCAGCCGGAGCCCCCTCTGGTGATTCAGAGACCTGTGCCGTGTCGACCGTGGCAACGCTAGCACCGGACTCCACCGCCGCTTGTGAACAGACGGGCGATTCCGAAAGTAAACTGGGGACGGGCCTGGAGCTGGTGCTAGTGACGGTGGACGACGTGGTGTCGCAGCGCGAGTTTCTGTATTCCAGGGCCTGAGTGACGGGGCTCACGCCTGAGGTGGGCACGTTCACGCACTGCAGGCGGATCGTGACGGACGCAATGCCTATACGCACGCACAAAAAAAAGACAATCGCCGATTTAACCGACGACGTTTACGTACGGCTTGTGTGTTTTGCCCATCGAGATTCTCTCTCTTGAGGCAGGGAACTGGGACTGTCAGTATGTAGTTACTTACTTTATACAGTTACACGTTGCACCATTTAAGGGTACAGAAGTGGTGCAAGTAGCACACAGCACAATAGAACCCAGAGAGCCGAGTTGGAGCCACAGCTAACGCCAGTGGCGAGTGATATCGGAACTGGTCCGTGGTCACCTCCCTTCACCAACGTACATCCCCAGCGTGAAGTTAGGTTAAACAACGCCCATAATCTGAACGGCTTGGGAAAACCTTCATCAAGCAGCATGTTGACAAAAGGCAGTAGCATATATCTTTACACCACACCAATAAATGATCAAATAAGGAATCGTTGGCAAGAGTAATCCCTCTAGAAAACTAACCTCACATTTACATTCCTTAAAAAGCTGTTTTATACACCGAAATGGTGGGGAGGGGGGGGCAGCGTAGATTTTTTTTGTCTGTCACAAACAGGCAAGAAGACCGCGCTGCATAAAACACAAAAACACTCAAACAATGCAGCAGTTGATTGCGAGCGTG